TCTTCAGTCTAGTTGTGGAGGACGTTGCTTCACTGGCCCAAGTTGGCACCATCATTGCGCTCTTCCCGGGCAAGGCAGATCAGTCGCTAGCTTCTGGACTGCCGCTCACTGCGGCTGCTGGTCACTCATGCTGGCTGCTGGCTACATACGGTAGCCCATGGCAACCCACTGCCACAGGGGCTGCAGCCTACGCCGTCGCCAGTGACTCACAGCAGCCCAGCCCCAGGTTGAGCTGTTGTTCAGCATCTTAGCTATAGAGGGCAGTGTCACTGGCCCTCATATGTGGGAACCGAACTGGGGCCTTCTGGCGTCCCAAGCCAGTTCTTAACCATCACGCCACTTGGCCGGCCCTTTCCTTAAATTCTTTAAATCCCATTCATTAAATATACATGATATTAGAAATTTATAGATACAAAGGGCCGGCCAAGTGGCTCAGTTGGTTAAGAGCTCGCTCAAGAGTTTGAGCTCTGAGCAACAGCGGTTCGAGTCCAGCCCTAGCTGAGCAGCCGCTGAGCTGCCAACAGGTAGCAGGATGGCTCAGCTAAAAAAAAAAAAATTATAGATACACAGACTTGAATGGAAACAACTTCATTTCATTGTGTATAACCATTGAAGTTGATATTGGAAGTAGAATATGAAAAGTTATTGAGAAGAGGAAGTGTTTCCTCAATTACCTTCCGCTCTCAGTCTTTTTATTTTGGGGGTGAATTTTGACCTTTGCTTACTGTTTCATTCCCTATGGTGTAGCCCTTTCATATAGAGTCATTTCCATACATCCTTCATTCCTTCCTTTCTAAAAAAACAATGTTCAGGGCTGAGTTTAATTTGCTGAACACTGAGAGGCAGTGGTGGAGAATGACATCACATCACTTAAAAGTAGAAAATGAGACCATCATGTTGAATTGCCTTCACACTCTCTTCAACAGGACTTTCCATTAACCATCTCTTCTCCTCATATTACAGTTTTTTCCTCCTTTGACTAGCTCTCTAACCTTTGAACCCCTCATATGTTGACTTAACTTCATCATCTAGACTTTATCAGAAGAGCACTTCAAAACATCTTTTCCTTAAACTCTGATGCCATCAATACCTCTATCAACAGAGCTATTATATATTTCATAGCTTTTTCCATTTCCTTTAGAGCCAGGGGCAAAGCCCTAACACCTGCCACATTATGTGGCAAGTCGCCTCTACTAGGACATTAGCATTTAATTCTAGATGCAGGTATTGTACAATAATGAACCAAGCAAGAGCAAGAGAACTGATCTGAACTTTCCTTTGTAAAGATGCCTACTCCACCCAGGGACATACCAGAAGAACATGCTAGGCATCTCAGGGCAAAATCCAGGTGAGATGGGGTCAACAATTTTGTCATTGTCATGAGGGGGCAGAGGCTGAGGTTCTGAATTAATTCTTCTAGATTTCACTCATTGTCTTAGGACAAGTCATAGTCATAAATTATTCTGGAAAATAATTTGTTATAGAAGCAATTGTATGTACTACTCCATCTGCCATTTGTCACATGTTTACCAAGTATCTACTGTGCACCAGTCAGGTAGTCTGCTGTGCAGAGAAAGTCAAGAGCATTATAGTCCTTGACCTTGAGGGATATGCAGCACAATGGAAAAGAAAAAGCTAGTTAGTTAGGAATACATGGCCAGTGTGATGAATTTTGTAATAAAGATAAGCATAGATGGTCCCAGACTTGGAGTGGATATGGGCTAGGATACTTTGATTTCAATGAAAAGTGGTAGTTAAATTTTGAAGAACTAGACATCACCTAAGGTTAGTTTAGTACAGGTAGATGAAACCTCCAATGTGCTCAGACAGGGAAATGTGAAATAATATAAAAATTACCACTTTTCCCAAACACAAGCATAAGTATGGTCATTGCACAGTTTTCATGTGAAGAATTTACAACAGATGAAGGCAGGAAAGGAAGTCAAATCCAGACCATAAAGCTCCTTGTATGTAAAACAAAAATAGATAGCTTTTAACAAGGATTGCCGAAATAGACTATACATTCCGACATAAAACATGGCAGAGCCTTGTGAAAATGCACTCACTTTTATTGATTCAAATCTATTATTTACTACACAAGGGAAAGTACATTAAAAAATGACAAAATTGTGAAGTAGTTAATCATGTTACTTAACATTCTTCAGCCTCATTCTTGGCTAACATGTGATCAAGCTGGCTTTCCACATATATCAGATTTTTGTTTCAGACAATCATTCCCCTGTAATTATCACTGGTGTTCTGTGTGCTCCTAAGAAACCTCAAATATATTTACCTCATAAAATTTCCCTAAGTTTCTGCTCTTGGTAAAGTGAATCAGAAAACTGATTTGGTCTGCTATAGCATGTAGTAGATATCTGTTTAATATATTACAATTCCTAGATAATGTCACTTAAAAATGTTACCTATCATATACTGAAGTTTTCTTATTATTTAATATATCTCCTTTCTCATATAATCACCCCCAACAATCCTTGAGGTTGGTTTATTATATCTCCTTTCCCCAGAAAAGGAAACTGAGGCTCTGAGATGATTAAATGACTTGGTTAAAATCACAAGACTAAAATGGCAGAGTTGGGTTCCAGCCGAATCCAAAGATGCTCTTGCTGACTACACCAAAAAAGCTGCTGAGTTGGGATTTTGAGTCATGGCAGCCAGTGAGGATGGGTGCCAGAGAGACTTCTCCCTAGGCCTCTCAAGTTCTATCACAGCAGTATGTATCTTTCTTTTGCAATGTCAGGCTGTTCAGTCTCACCTATCTTCTAAGCCTCTGGTAATTGATAATACTTATTCTATTTTAATAAACCTCCATAATTGAATAATTTGCTGTCATATATTTCAATGATACCCAAGTAAAGGAAGAAAAGGAGTGTGTTGTGAGTATGGGTGAAAGTGAGACAGCTCATAAAATGGATATGGGTAAAGGGAGAGAAAAAGAAGTCACTTAATAAACACCAAAAGCCCAATCCCTTCTTAGAGTAAAGTGAAGCCCCAGTTAAACATCTAAATCAGATGTTCTATGGAGTCACTTCTCTAAGGGTTTATACCCCTGCCAAAGAATTAAGCAGGGAGTAAAAAAGAAGAAATGAGAAAACTTGTCATGAATAACAGTTTGATAGACAATGATTGTTTGCAAAGGAACTTCTCTCTTCAACTAAGTGATTCAACCTATTGAAATCCTCCTTATCTAACTACTTTTGTTATATAACTACTTCAGACTGATGTACTGTTGAGAGTGGGAAAGAAACTCAGTGATTGATTCAGCATGCAGATGGCACAGGAAAGTGCTGGACTCTGTGTAAGATGGAAAACCAGTCATCCCCATAGAGGGATACTGAAAGAGATACAAAGGATGATTGTAGATGGATATAAAAAATGATAGTAATGGATACAAAGCATGGTTGAG